TTGACATTCTTTTCCATTTAATAACTGAACACGCCTAATGCATGCGTAACCCATCTCTAGCTAAGGGGTTAAATTGAAGGTCACATGAATACGGATTCAATGAGGTCGAACTATTCACTTGCAAGTGAATAATTCATCAGCGATGTTCCTTAGCTTATTTTGACAAAATTGAACCAAACGGGCTTCTAAAAGTGAATTATTATTTCACTATTTCACTTTCATTAATGAATGAACAAAAGAAATCATATTTATTTTTTTTTATATCTCGTAGCTAATGCCCCTTTAAGCTTGGATCGTGTATCTATTGGTTAATTGTTTTTTGTTAATTGAAAACCAAGAATTACATTTTATATGATGTTCAGAACGGTTTCAGTAAATGATAGAAGACTACTGACCATGAAACATCGCTTTTAATTTATTGAAACCAGAAAATGTAGACAATTGTCGTGATGTTTTGCGTTAATAGAATTTCCATAAAAGAGAGACAAAAGATATCAAAGGGACAATCAAACTCTAAAGTCATATATCAAACAAACCGGCAAAGCTATAGCAAAAACCAAAAACGACGACAAGACAAACAGCAGTCTACACAACACAGCATAGAAGACTAAGGACTGAGCAATACGAACCCCACAAAAACCGGAGTTATCTCCTATTTTTGTATAGATTGAAACATTAAATTTCGGAAATTTACTTTTGTAATTTTTCCATACTTAATTTTTTTTGTATACAAAGGGAGTTTATTCAATGTTTTTCTGCCCTTGTGAAAAATGTGTGGAATGTTGTTCTGTTGATAAATTGTTGAGAAACAGACTGGTTTAAGGTAAAGGAACAATAAATGGGCTATGTAACAGATTTTGGTAAAATTTTTCATACAACTTCGGTTCGTTGAACTATAACTGAAAATCGAAAAAAATAATGCATAAACTCTTTTATTAAGCGATACCTAATATTTTTGACAATTGTAGTTTATATTATGGCTATATATAATATATACCAGTAGCTGTAGTCGTTTAAGCTATATTATACACATGTATATCGAAATACCTACTATTCAAACTGCTTTGAGGGGGTGGACAGGACCGGGTAAGGGAACATTGGAATGATGTGGAGGGAAGCGGGAGTCAGGGAGGCGGGAACAGGAGGAAGAGGGGGAACAATAAGGATATTCTGGGAAATTCAATTTCACTGATGTTCGTCTAAGAATAAGGAGGGAAGGAATTGGAAGTAAGGGAGGGAAGTGGGAATCAGGGACCCCTGTCCACCCCTCTGCTTTGATGTTAAGTAATCGTTTACCCTATAGTAATATTACAGTTTTCTTTTACATTTTGTGTATTTTGTGAAAGTAAAGCATGTTAAGTTAAACCGACAATATGTAGGTGTAGAATGAGGATTACATATCTTTTTGCGTGAACCCCATGAGGGGTTCAGCCTATATATTGGTGAGTTTCGGGAGCTTATATGGGCCATTCTGATATTTCCGGAAACAAAATTCTCGGAACTTCTCGAAAATGTTCGATCATTTATACAGGTAGTTATCTATGCCTTTTGACAAAACATATGTGTTTATGATACTTCGAATGTTTATTAAATATCAAGTATAATGATAATTAACGCAATTATATAATGCATTGCATTGTGACAATAAACCGGGGAGTTTATTTACATAATAGTTATTGAAAAGCTGGTCATTATCGTGATATATGGACTGTCCACAGGACAGTGGTATTGACTAAGACAGCAATAATGGTCATTAACATGTAAAAGTCCGTTAGCGACCGGTTTTCTGGTCCGTTTTTTTTTCTGTAAAAGACCGATAGAATTTATTACTGAAGAATAAAGAATGTCATGTGGCCCCTTGTTATCCAATAAAAAAAGCTAATTCTTAACCGATATGAAATAGAAATATATAATGTCCCAGAATAAACTGATTATTTCTGAACGTTTATCACATGATATTTTGTATTTCAATCATAGCCTGGGAAAATGTCGGAAAGCATGAAGAAAATTAACAAAACGATATTTCTGTTATACATATTTATCTTAGGTCGGAAACAGCGTGGTCGGTAAGCAGAAAGATAATTAAACAAAAGCTTGGTTCTGTCAAAATATTTATTTTAACTAATAGATACTACCAAACCAAAAGATTATTCATTAAAATTATTAAGTTTAAACTGAGACTAAATTTATTCTTAATAGAATAATTAGAAATGTTATATATACGTGTATTATGTCCCACAGGTTTGAACAGTGAATACATTTATGAAAAGTATATGAAACATATGAGCACCAATGAACAGGGATGCGTATACGTAAGTTAGTATCTAAATTTTAAACAGTAGTGAATGAGAAAATACTTGCATGGTTTTAATTCACAAGGAATTTAAATCATTGCATCTCACAAAAAACGTAATTAATATTTTACAATAATCATAAAAATATTTAATTACTACGTTAATTATTTTATACTTTTTTCATATGGATTTATAAGTGTCTGCTTATATTTTGTATAGCAAGATATTCATATAGTGGAAAGTTACAGAGTAAGAAGAGATTGATTTGATAAATAAGACTGGGATTTGCAATAGGATTATGAAAAAATGATGTACACTCCCAAGTAATAAATAATATAGTCTAGCCTTAAAATGTAAATTCCAATAGTAGTAGTATATATATATATACACTTTTCTTGAAAAACTATCCATTATTGCTTTCAATTGACTTGAGCAAGAATCTACACACAATTACATATTTTCAATAAAGGTGTTTTAACATCATCATTATTTTGTTCTATTAAGAGTCAATTATTTCAAATTAAAAGCAATCTAAAATCCAATAACAATTTTTTGGTGACCAGTCAGCGGTCTCGGGTTCACGTGTTGCATTTCTTTTTTTTTAAAGAAAGCAACTTGTTTAATAGTTCAACCTTATAGCATCTAAATCTTTGCAATATGGTACGATTTTGAAAATTGTATTCGTTGTGTTGATCAACTTTCCTACACGTCTTGTTTCATTTACATTATGTATCACCCTGTTCACACGACACACTCGGTTTGCGTTCCCACAAATTCCGGATTAAATGTCAGTGAATCCGGAATCAAAACACTTTAGGTAGGTAGTTTGACATCCGAATTCAACTATTAAACATTAGATTTGAGCCCAGATTAATATATGTGATGATGCAAATGCGTATTATTATCTAGAGTATCAGTACGTATGATTTCTATCTACTATTTCTTGCGCAAAAAAAAAAAAACCACGTGCATGCATGAATATTAACTTCTATATCGAATGCGAATTTTCGATTTTCTAACCTAAATTTTGGTCACGGCAGTATGAGCTTGACATGTAACTTTCAAACATGGTCATCATTAGTTAAGGTATTCTGACCTTTAGCTGTTTCTCTGTTCTTTCTTTTTCTACTATAAATTTTGACATTTTCGAAATGCTCAGAATTTTCTACCCAAGGAATAGAATACCTTAGATGTATTCGGCAAAACCTTTGTTTTAAAATTTTGGGACCTCAATTCCTTTCAACTTCGTACTTTATTTGGCCCTTTTAACTTTTATATTCGAGCGTCACTGATGAGTCTATTGTAGACTGAACTATCGTCTGGCGTACGCCATTTAAATCCTGGTATCTTTTTAAATCTACATATTTTTTGTTTATAAATTGATTCTTTTGAGAGTATGTTCAGGTATTCGTAATACTTCTGAAAATACCAAGTTTTCCTGAAGAATATTGTGATTGATTTAAGTAACTTTAGAAAATCCTTAAAATTTGAGATGTTTTATGAGACAAATTTATAAGAGGTCCCAATGAAGCTGGTGTGTTACTCTCAAGAAATATATACGAAACCTTCTTATAAGTTGCATGCCACAGGGTTTCACTTAACATGGAAATTTGACTTTAATTTTATCTATACAACATCAACCATGACTACAGACAGCTTCAATAACGAGTATAAGAATAATTGAAAGCATCCAGGAAACAAAAAATGAAGATATGATAGATAAAACAAATGCCTCCAGATTATAAAGCAAACTGAGTGCTTAAATTTATATTGCGATTGGTTTGTGCAATTTGCATTAGACACCCGGTTTGCAGAAATCGGGATTTGCAATAGGATTATGAAAAAATGATGTACACTCCCAAGTAATACATAAAATAGTCAAGCCTTAATGGTAGTAGTAGTATACATGTATATACACTTTTCTATTCACAACTATCCAACATTGCTTTCAATTGACTTGTGCAAGAATCTACACACAAATACATATTTTCAATAAAGGTGCTATAAAATCATCATTATCTTATTCTATTCAGAGTCAATTATTTCAAATCAAAAGCAAACAAAAACTCCGCAAAAATATTTTGATGGCCAGTCAGCGCTTTCGGGTTCACGTATTGCTTTTCTTTTTTTAAAGAAAGCAACTTGTTTTTCTTGTTGATTATATATTCCCTTCATCAGGATGTCTCACTCTACTTTTGTTCTCAACGGCATAAGTTGCACACGTAGAAGCTGTTACTATATTTTTGGTAAGATCGATCTTATAAGAACCAGTGTGTATATAATGCCGTGCAAAAAGAATATGTCTGACATTATTTCCTTTAGAAACAACATTAATATTTCGATTTCACTTTTAGAAAGATTGGTCCAAAAAGATTGATCCTTTTAAGTCCGGTTGGAGATCAGTATTTTCCGTCTACATTAAAATAAACATCGATCATTTTTTTAAAACCGATCTTTAAAAGGTCGATTTTGTTTTTACCAGTGTAAACACTTTCATTTTTTAGTTTTTCGTTTTGGATTTCAAAAAACGGAAAACAAATGGATGTCGTTTATCATGTGTATTGCATTGTGTATTTTGTACATCATCCTATTTACATTAATATCAAAGAGCATGTAAACAATTAAATCAAAAGTGAATGTCCTTTAAACATTATTTAAAAAGGATAATTTAACAAATACAATAGCTCAAATGGTTAATAATCTTACCTCAGCTTCTTTCCAGTGTGTATCTAAATGCCTGTATGTTGATTTTGACTTTTATATAACTATGACCTATTTCCTCTCGCAGGCGCTCCCATTGATATCATGTTCAAGGCTAATACAACATGCACGGTCGACCGATATATAATTATCAATAATTTGTTTTCTTAAAAAACAAAGAAATGCAATCGTGAACACAAATGCATGTTGTTTGGTTTGAAAGATCGGTTCCTTCCAAAAAAATTGATAAAAGTCAGAGTTCGAATAATATCTGGCAGTGGATATTAGTAAGATATATATAATATTGATGGTTATTTGTCGTATATAAATTGAAATTGAATCTGAAAAGATGTCACAAAGGGCTAATGAAAACCAAATAAATAAACATCCCATTGGAAATAATGAAGGCAAGATGGCCGACGAAAAAACTCAAGGGGAAACATACTCGTTTGCAGTAAAAAAACTTTTGTTATTGAGAGTGTGCTTTCCACTGTCAAACCTGTATTCATATTAGAAAATGATATATTTGGATTAACAAAACCAAGCAAGGAACAGTTCATAACACATCTAGAACTCTATAGAACTATTGATTGCAATATATGTCCAGGTAGCCACCTTAAAGGACTCCAAAGAGTAACAGGTCTTTGAAGAATATATTTTGATAATGACACAGACAGAGAATCGATGATTTCAAAGGGTTTTTGGTTTAGAGACAAAACTATCCCAGTGTATACACGCAACCCTAGAGTAATGGTAAATGAAAATCCAAATCATTTAAAAATACGTGTCAAAATGTACCTTGTTCAGCTGATGATGGACAAATTGAACGCGCATTAGAATACCATGGGTGCATTGTGCACAAATTGTATCGAGAACGCCTTCGTGTAGATGGTGAGTTGACTAATTGTCAAACAGGGGATAGAATTGTGATGTGTGATCCTGTCAGCGAACCCCTGCCAAGATCTATGCTAATAGGCAAATATGTTGCTACAGTCTTGCATGCTAATCAAAATGCTTCAGAAGGTCACAAAATAGTATGCAGAAAGTGTTTACAGACAGGACATAAGGCTATGCAATGTCCTAACGATTGGATATGCCTACAATGCAAACAACCTGGTCACAGGCAGGCCGACTGTCCTGAAGATTTAAACACTTCCAACCCCTCTAGTGATGAGGAATTAGATGCCAATGATGCTGACACAGAAGACACTGAAATCCCGCCTGTTCATGACGCACTTCTGCCTTCCAACTCAGGTCATGTCCTTATTAATATCCATGCTAAAGAAAACGCCCAATAACCATTTACAAGATAAAATACAGTGCGATCAAGAAATAGTGAATGATGGAGAAAATGTTGAAAAAAAAAGCCAAAACATAAAAAGAAGAAAAAAAATACGGAACCCGGTGGGAATATTGAACAATATTTCAAGGGACAGACAGAAAATACCAATATCCCGGCCGCCAAAAAAAAAATGGAAAAAGAAATGCCAGCACGCCAACAGAAATCAAACACAAAGAAGAAGTGTAAATATTTGTATATAATTGTAATATTTAGCCTGTTTTTATATAACAAAAAAAATGAAAAAAAAAATGAGTGTGATGTAATTAAGGATTACATACATTCAAATGTGTATGAAAATAAATCAGTCAAATCTGAAATAAACAAAATAATGTATAATAGAATACAAAAGTATGTCAATTTAGAATACTTTAATTATAATTATATTAATATAATACAAAACAATAATAGTTTGTACAATATTTTTTTAATAGAAAAGAAATATAATAATTATACAGAAATTTGAACATTTTATAACAATTATTCTCAAGAAAAAGAGGATAGAAATCTTGGAAAAAATAAATCTATTAATAGAACCTATTCTGTGTCTAACAGGTAAAATCTTGTTTATGTTCTAGATATTGAACTCTACAATCTATTACCCAAAAAAGCTCACAACGTTTTATCCGTTTTATTCGCACAATTGTCATTGTCTATTTTCCTTTTGTTCAGTAATATGCTATTACATCCTTTTACTTTTTCCTGTTCAAAGCATGTCAATTCTTTATACGCAGAACTCAATTTCCATTAATAGAACACTAAGTTTTACGAAATCACTATTCCAAAATTTACACGATAAAGTCCAATTACTATTGTTTCTCCAGCTACGTTGTCTGGTGTCTAAAAATAGAAAACAACAGATGTTACGAAATGAAAGAAACCAATTGTTTACAATATTGAAATTGACATGTCACATCATTTTTTTGCACAGAATCACAATGTAATAGACCTAATAATGTTGGAGACACATATGTCTCTGATCTCTGATAATGTGTATTTGATTTTAATCAAATGTTCTGTAACAAATTCATTAGACAATCTCTGGTTTGTATTATTTTTAACTTGTGTATTAATGCAAAATGAATATTGTATATCATTGAAATATGTGTATACATTTAAAAGAATAATCAGAACTAGGAGAATACAAGAAAGTTGTTGGGTAGGCTCAATAAACATTCAAATAAATATATTAACACAAACAAAAAACTTATGACAAAAACAATTCATATATATTCTTTAAATTGTCAAGGTCACAGAGTAAAAGATAAAAGACATAGATTATATTTGCGGATGAAATATCAAAAATGTAATATTTTGTTTGTTCAGGAAAGTCATTTCACTGAAGATTTAGAAAAAGACTTAAATTCTGAAATTAAAGGTCAACAATATCATATCTTTGGAACCTCACAGTCCAGAGGAGTTTTGATTTTTATTAATAACGATTTAGAATGCAAATTTATAAATATGTTAAGAGACCAAGAGGGCAGGCTACTCTTAATAAATGATGAAATTGAAGACAGTATTTACACCTTAGTAAATGTCTATGTACCAAATATACCTAAAAAAAGAAATATTTTTTTCAAAAAAGTTAAAGAAGTAGTTACAAAAAATAGTTTAGGAATGGTTATAATTGGAGGAGATATGAATGATACTTTAACAAAAATAAATAACCAAAAAAATGTCAACACAAAAATCAAAACAAACATAACCAGTATAAGCCTTAAATCTTTAATTAAAACCCAAAAACTAAGTGATATTTGGAGAGAGCTTCATGGTAGGGAAATACAATTTACTTGGCGACGTAAAAATAATTTAAATGAAGCATCTAAAATAGATTTTTTCTTAACATGTCCTGAAATAAGAACTAAAATAGATACTGATATTAGGCCAGCTATTATAACTCATACAGACCATCAGGCAATTTCTATCAAGATAAAAGGTCGATCAGACCAAAAAGGTAAAGGATACTTTAAAATTAGTAATAGTATTTTAGAAAATGAAGAATATCATAACCTTATAAAAATTCTAATCAAACAATATGAAAATAAAATATTACTCACCAATGATATTTGTGTCAAGTGGGATCTGTTTAAAACCGAGGTTAGAGACCACACCATAGCATTCTACAAAAGAAAAGCACAAAATAATGTAAAAGAAATACATATTTTAGAAAACAAATTGAAGAAATTAAATGAGGGTTCAAACAAAAAATGTAAAAGGATGTTATTACCTCTTTTAAAGAGGAAATTAATATTATAGAAGAAAAACTTGGTAAACTATATGATTCAAAAACAAAATGAGCACAAATAAGATCTAGATTTAAGTGGGTAGAAGAAGGAGAAAAAAACACAAAATTCTTCTTGGGACTAGAAAAGGCTAGGCAAACAAGATAACTATAACAGCGCTCAGGGACAAAGAGGGGGTGATACATACACATCCTACAGAAATACTAAATCTTGAAAAGGAATTTTATGAAGAAATTTATAAAAATTCAAATCCCAATAAAATTTTTATAAAAGATTATGTTATGAATACAGAATGTGATCATGTCCTAACAGATAAAATAGGCGATAGTATGGAAGGTTTATTAAGCACTCAAGAATGCACAGATTCATTATTTAAAATGGAACTAAATAAAGCCCCAGGAATTGATGGCTTAAGTGTAGAATTTTATAGAACTTTTTGGGAACATCCTAAAGAGTTTGCAGTCAAAACTTTTAATTTCTCATTTGATAAAGGGGAGTTAACAAATTCACAAAAATTAGGAGTTATTTCCCTTTTACATAAAAAACATGATCCTCTCAGTTTAGACAATTATAGACCAATAACATTATTGAATGTTGACACAAAATTAGTCGTTTATTCACTTGCTCAAAGAATCATCAAAATGTTACCCCAAATTATTCATGGAGATCAAAAAGGGTATGTTAAAAACAGATATATAGGATATAATATTAGACAAATTCAAGATGTCATAGATTATGCAGACAAATTTAATATAGAGGGCGCTTTATTATTCTTAGATTTTTCAAAGGCATTCGATTCATTAGAGTGGGATTTTATGTTCTTTGCTTTACAAAAATTTGGATTTCAAAATTCTATGATGAGATGGATAAAACTTTTATATACTGAGATAAAAAGTTCAGTTTTAAATAATGGGTGGATTTCAAAACCCATGAGTATATATCGAGGAATACGTCAAGGCTGTCCATGTAGTGCGATTGTTATTGCTGTGGAGATTCTAGCTTGTAAAATTAGGCAAGACCATAACCTTAAAGGATTTGAAATCAAGATAGATGGAAAAACCCAAACTTTAAAAATAAGTCAGCTAGCAGATGACACCACTCTTTTTCTCAAATCAAAACAAGATATTTCAAAAGCTCTTAACATGATTGAAACATTTGGTTCACTGTCAGGATTAAAACTTAACAGATCTAAAACGGAGGGTATTTGGCTAGGGAAACAAAAACATTGTAAAGAAACATATGAGAATATTAATCTTTCAGATAAACCAGTTAAAAGTCTGGGGATATATTTTGGGCATAACAAAGAAGAGTGTCATAAACTAAATTTTGAAAAACAGCTAGAAAAGTCTGTAAAAATTATATCTAATTGGAAAAAAAGAAACTTAACCATGATAGGAAGAATAACAGTTATTAAATCTTTAGTTATTCCTATAATTACTTATTTGGCTACAGTCTCAACCTTGGGCAAAGAGTATTTAGATAAATTTAAAAAAATTATACATGAATTTCTATGGAACAATAAGAC